TCCATTCTCTTTTTATTGTCATTATCTGCTTTGCCTAACTCTCTTGTTTATTTTGGAATTGTAGCATCCTATTGATCATACACTTGGCAAGCCAGCCAGGCTAAATACACTAAAATTTACATTATGTCTTTTCTTTGGAATTTCTATAAATGGGTGAAGGGGGAGAACAATACTCCTTTAGAGAAAAAGATTCCAGGGCAGATCCCAGGATTTATGGGATCTCCCTATTATGAGCTAGTGGTTGTCATTGAAAAATGGGGTCCCTTATGCGTTATGGTCCCCATATTGCATGGCAGATTACTTTCAGGGGCTTAGCAAGGATGTACTGATCACTAAAGAAAGACAATTGGCTGCCTCCCCAGTGGCATGGTCGTTATTAAATGCCTTAAATCATGCTGAAATAAGAAATAGTACTTTAGAGAATGAAAAACAACTTTTGAAAGACTGAAAAATTAGAGCAAGAACTTGGCATACTAACAGGGAAGAAACCAATTCCACATCTTCCCATAGGCCAAGTTCGTAACATCTCAATAAACAATGACCAGACTCCTGAATCAACAGACTTGGTTGATCAGGAAAATAAAAAATCCAAATTAGATCTTGAATATCCAATTGTGACAGATCCACTAGGACAGTCTGTCCTGTCACAACTCAAAAAACAAAAAAAGTACAGGACAGACCTGCAGGGGTGCTGCCTGATCAGTGGCCCCCTGCTCAGGCTCATTTGCATGTAATAGCCTGGCCATACATGGCAACAGAATTGGTGAATTTAGTACAGCAATTTCGGCAGAAGCCTAGAGAAAGTGTGCTGGCTTGGTTATGAAGACTGTGGGATTCTGGGGCAGAAAATGTTTTCGTGAATGGTCCAGAAATAGCCAAGTTGGCCACCATGACTGTCCATCCTGCTCTCAGGCAGAGGTTATATGCAAGTAATCAATATCTTGATGAAAACCTTTCTATAATAGAATGGTTAATGGTGGCCTGCCGTATGGCATGGCCGAATAAATTGGATATACCTCTACATACAGGGGTGTGGTCCTCCATGGAGGACCTTCACAATTATACCTGTGAGCTGAGTGTAAGGGAAACATCTATGAAGACACATCTGATGGCCCTGATATGGTCAAATTTTCACCAGGGATGAGAGACTTGATTCTACAGCAAGCTCCCTCTCATCTGTATGGTAGTCTAGTCTCTGTATTAAATCCCCTGGTGGCCTCAGAAGCTGTAGTCCAGCAGGCTGCCTAGTTAGTGGCCAACCTAGGAGAAACAGAATGCCTGTGAACTAGGCACAATATTCAGATGTTGGAGGAAGCAGAGGTCCTGCCGGTAAGTAAAGCCAAAATGCCAGCTACTCGAGCTCCTCAATCGGGACCCATAAGGGTCTCCCAAAAACAAACGTTTAATGATTTAATTCGGGCTGGAGTCCAATTTGCTAAGATTGACCACCAGCCCAACCATGTCCTTCTCCAGTTCTGGTGACAACTAAAGGAGAATCAAAAATTTCAGAACTACCCTAAGAAATCAAGGGTAAGGGTTATAGAAAGAATACCAACAATGACATGGAACCTAGAAGATTTTGTTTTTCCTAATAGGAAAAAAAAAGCTGTCTCAGGTGTCTCGGGCCACAGTGCCTGAGCCACTGGAAGCAAATAATTGGCCTTAGCACAGTTCATGGCGTGACAAAGGATGTTAGTCCCCCTAGGGCCTCCAGACAGGACTGGAGGCCCTATGTAGAATTAATGACTTATTGGTCCCCAAAAAATATTCAGAGAGTTATGGCGTTAGCGGACACCGGAGCAGAAACATCAATTATCTACAGAGATCCAACCGAATTTGGTGGGGACAGAGTGATGATTGGTGGTTTTGGGGGACAGACTATTCCTGTCACCCAAACATGGTTAAAACTGGCGGTTGGGCATCTCCCACCCCGGGAGTACAAGGTGTCTATTGCCCCAGACCAAGAATACATCCTGGGCATAGATATTCTATGGGGTCTGGCTCTCCAGACAACTGTGGGAGAGTTCAGACTTTGACAGAGATCTATCAGTATCCTGGCGGTGCAGAATGGGCCTACTTGCCTGCCAAAACTGTGCCGGATTACTAATGTGAGACGGTATAGACTCCTGGGTGGGCAAAATGAAATATCAAGAATGGTGCAGGAATTAGAAAAAGTGGGCATTATGAGACCTGCACACAGCCCGTATAACTCCCCCATATGGTCAGTGTGAAAGTCAGATGGCACACGGAGAACGACAGTAGATGACAGAGAATTAAATAAGGTCATGCTGCCAATTCATGCAGCCGTACCCAATATTGCCTCCCTAATGGACACATTGAGTAGGGAGATAAAAACCTATCATTGTGTCCTAGATCTAGCAAATGCATTCTTCAGTATCCCAATTGCTGAGGAATCACAAGATCAGTTTAATTTACATGGGGAGGCAGGCAGCGGACCTTTCAGGTCCTGCCACAGAGGTACGTGCATTCACCAACGTATTGTCACAATCTAGTGGCACGTGACATGGCTGATTGGAGAAAACCTGATGATGTTAATGTATAGCATTATACTGATGATCTCCTGCTGACATCCTACTCACTGGAGGCAATAGGACAGGCGGCAGATTCATTAACCGCCTATTTACAACAGAGGGGATGAGCTATAAATCCCCAAAAGGTGCAAGGTCCAGGCCTGTCCGTAAAATTCCTGGGGGTGGTTTGGTCAGGAAAGACCAAAGTGCTACCCAGTACTGTCATAGATAAGGTTCAGGTGTTCCCAGTCCCTACAACATCAAAGCAGCTGTAAGAGTTTCTAGGTATATTGGGTTACTGGTGCTCCTTTATACCTTACCTAGTGCAGCTGCTAAGGCCACTATATAGACTCACAAAAAAGGGGCAGCTATGGGACTGGGGGAAAACCAAACAGGATGCTTTCCAACAAGCAAAACTTGCAGTTAAACAAGCTCAGGCATTGGGTATATTTGATCCTACCCTCTCAGCCGAGTTGGATGTTCATGTTACTCAAGATGGCTTTGGTTGGGGCCTGTGGCAACACAGAATTCTGTTTGGACCCCCATTGGTTTCTGGTCTTGGGTTTAGCACGGAGCAGAAGAAAGATACAGTGTGATTGAAAAGCAGTTATTGGCTGCCTATTTGGCATTACAGGCATTAGAGCCAATAACTCAAACAGTTGAAGTTATAGACAAGACCGCTCTGCTGATTCAGGGGTGGGTGAAAGATCTGACCCACCTTCCTAAGACAGGGGTGGCCCAAGCACAAACAGTGGCACGATAGGTCGCCTGGCTCAGCCAAAGGAGCAGTCTGTCTTCATCACCCTTGAAAGAAGAACTCCAGAAGATCCTAGACCCAGTGATGTATCACAGTGATGAACCAAAAGAAACACTGGTCGCTCCATCAGGGAAGCATCCTGTTCAAGAGGGAAAATATCCTATCCCTGAAGATGCCTGGTACACAGACGGGTCCAGTAAAGGCAACCTGAGCAAGTGGAGAACAATAGCATACCATCCTTCCACGGAGACAATCTGGTTCGACGGGGGGGATGGTCAGAGCAGCCAATGGGCAGAAGTGCAAGCTGTGTGGATGGTTATAACCAAGGAACCCGGTGATGGTATCCTGAACATCTGCACAGATAGTTGAGCTGTGTACCGGGGGCTCACTCTTTGGATTGCACAGTGGGCCACCCAGGAATGGACTATCCATGCCCAACCGATCTGGGGCAAAGACATGTGGTTAGATATATGGAATACGGTCAAATACAGGACTATATGTGTCTACCATCAGCCCCTATGTAGGTCATCAGCCCCTACAGTCACTGGGAAACGATGAAGCTGACATGCTGGCCCGAGTTCAGTGGATTGAGAATTCACCACCTGAGAACATCGCCCATTGGTTACATCAGAAGCTACGGCATGCTGGACAAAAGACAATGTGGGCAGCTGCTAAAGCATGGGCACTGCCCATACAACTATCTGATACAGTCCAGGCATGCCAGGATTGCGACGCTTGCTCCAAGATGAGACTGAGATCGTTGCCTGAAACAACAGCCCATCTTGCTAGAGGACACAGTCTTCTCCAGCAATGGCAGGTTGATTACACTGGGCCCCTTACTCGCTCTGAGGGGGCAAGATATGTCCTGAACTGCATCGACGCTGCAAGTGGGCTACTGCAGGCCTATCCAGTACTGAGAGCAAACCAGGCATATACCATCAAGGCACTCACTAAACTGATATCTGCCTACAGGACTCCTCAAGTCATCGAGAGCGACCAAGGGACTCATTTTACTGGTGCAATGATACAGCAGTGGGCAGAAGAAAATAACATCGAATGGTGATTCCACCTGCCAGATAATCCAGCGGGGGCAGGCCTCATCGAACGTTATAACGGTGTTCTTAAGGCTGCCCTGAAGACAGACTCCCAGACCCTGCAGGAGTGGACAAAAAGACCTGCTGGACCTGAATGAGAGACCCTGAGATGGCAAACCCAGTGCCCTGAGAATGTTGCAGATGACATAGGCCACCCCAGCTAGGATCCAAATTATGGGCACTGATCATCAGGTAAGACCCCAGATTGGTAATGAAAATAATATTCTGCTCCCTGCCTCTGAGAATTTAGATCTGGGTACCCATAAAGTAAAATGGCCCTGGAAGGTGCAGGTAGGACCCAAGTGGTGTGGCCTACTTGCACCTTGGGGGAAGATTGTAGGAGGCGAGAGGCTCAGTAATCCCTCCAGTAATAGGTACATGGCCTACTGATATTGTGGTCAACACTCTGATATTTATTGCTAAAGGGACCCCCATCATGTCCCTGTGGCAGATAAGGACACCTCCTTTGGTGCCTGATCTCATTCTGCAGCCGCAGACATCTGTCCCGAAGGTGTGGTACAGGCAGCCAGGACGTGCCCCAGTACAATTGGAAGTGTTGACCCAGGATAGAAATATGGCCTGTATCTGGAGAGCAGACCTTCCCATCCTGGAACCTCTGAAACATCTGTATTACTCCCCGTGAGTCTGAGCCTTCAGGATCACCGGAAGGAACAAAATGCCATCAAGTGTTCCAGTGTTGCTGTCACATCATGTACAACACCTGGTGATGGTCTGCATGGGACTGATGGGACACAGAACGGACCTGCACCTCAGGACCTAATGCCTACAGTCACATCATCGAGCACTGGCCCATAGAAGAATATGGACATCCACTGATCATCGCTCGTCTTGAATTGTACCAACACACGTCGCGAAGAAAATTGTATAAGCATCGCGACATAGCGGATCTCTGTATTAGGGAAAGCTTACCCTTTAATTAACCTGATCATTGGTTCATGCTGTGAAGGGGTGGAATGTATGAGAACTACTGAGTTATGGCCTGAACCTCTGATTGATCACCTGAGGTGAGCACTGAGTCAGCCAGAGGAGCACAGGTGAAGGCAATTCACCTGTGATGCCAGAAGGGGTGGAGCCTGGCTGCAGCCCTCCTAGACCTATTGAAGAGCTGGCTGCCAGTGGGGAAGGATCTCTGCTGGAGATTGGCTCTGCTGGTGTTTTGTGAGTGAGCCCAGGATAGGGGTAAGCTTTCTGTCCATTCTCTTTTTATTATCATTATCTGCTTTGCCTAACTCTCTTGTTTATTTTGTAATTGTAACATCCTAATATTCATTGATTTTACTGACGCCCATCTTCAAAAAGGGCCAGAAAGATGATTCTGGTAGCTACAGATCAGTCTCACCTTGGTGCCAGGAAAGGCAATCTTGGGAGTCATCATGGATCAATTAAAGGTAAACCAAGGGATCCTGTTTGACAAACCTGATTTCTTTCTATGACAAGGTGACCCACTTAGTGGATGAAGGTAAGGCTGTCAGTGGTGTCCACCTGGACTTCAGTAAAGCCTTTGACACTGTCACTGGATAGACTGGATTGATGCACCAAGGTAAACTGTATGAGTTTCAATAGAGCCAAATGTCGGGTCTTGCATTTCAGGCACAACAATACCAGGCAACTCTACAGGTTTGGGGAGGAGTGGCTGGAAAGCTGCCTCAAGGAAAGGGACCTTAGTGTACTGATGGACATTTGACTGAATATGAGCCAGCAGTTTGCCCAGGTGGCTAAGAAGGCCAGTGGCATCCTGGCTTGTATCAGGAACGCTGTAGTGAGCAGTTCTAGGGAAGTCATCCTGCCTGTACTCGGCACTGGTGAGGCCTCACCTCAAGTACTGTGTTCAGTTTTGAGCACCTCAGTACAGAAGTGCTGCATCTCAGGACATTGAGGTGCTGGAGCAGGTCCAAACAAGGGCAACAAGGCTTGTGAAGGGCTTAGAGAATATGCCTTACAAGGAGAGACTGAAGGAACTGGGGCTGTTTAGTCTGGGGAAAAGGAGGCTGAGGGGAGATGTATTGCTCTCTCTAAGTACCTGAAAGCTGATTGCAGTGAGGGTAGGGCTGGTCTCTTCTCACTGGTGACAGGAGGAGGGAAATGGCCTCAAGTTGTGCCAGAAGAGGTTTTTAGACTGGATATCAGGAAAAGCGTCTTTATCAAAAGGGTGATTAAGCACTGGAATAGGTTCCGCAGGGAGGTGGTTAAGTCACCATCCCTGAATGCATTTAAAAACCATTTGAATGTGGTGCTCAGGGACATGATTTAGCAGAGGTTGTTAGAGTTATTGGTAGAATGGCTAAGCTGCGGTTGGACTTGATGATCTTTAAGGTCTTTTCCAACCTGAGCAATTTTATGATTCTGTGATTTAATAACAGAAGACTTTTGTTCTGCTCCTTATTTGTCACATTCTTCTACATAATGCTGGCCTTCGTTCTCTGCCACTCCCTGGGTGAGTGGTCCCTGGCCAAGACTGTTGCTGCACAATGACCTTGGAGCCATCAGTGCTCAGTGGAATGGCTCCAGTCCAGGACTCCAAGCTCATTTTTACAACCGCATCATTTACTTCAATAGCACACACATGCAGAAAACCATTTCAGTGTTTTCCACTACATCAAGATGCAGAAGTGGTAAGCAAAGCTTAAATGGTGAAGATGTGGCTCATAAAAACAGCCACAAATCAAGACAAGGCATCTTCAAAGTCAATCTTTAGCTGCTTTCATCTGCCTGGCTTTTACCTTGCTGTGGTATGGAGAGAAATGGTCTAAAACAGATTATTCACAGTATAAAGCATCCCTATTATAACACGTGCAAACATAATTCAAACTGCAGCACAAGTCCCTTCTATCCTCATCCCCTCTGCAAGCCTGTGACTATCACCTAGCACAGGCTTCCCCCTACTGCGTCCTCCAGTCAATCCTCCCTGCCTCTAACTCCCTCACAATGCATCATGAGCAGTTTTAATGCAGGCACTAACCTCCTTTTGTGGAGGAGTACAGGAGTGCTTGAAGCACACACAGTGCTTGTGCATCTAAGCTTAGACAAGCTGGCCTTGTAAATCTCCAATCTATGCAATGCTAGACAGCGGTTTGCCTGGATAAACAAAGTTAAGGGCACATTCTTTGGCCTTACAAACTTAACCAAGCCGACCACATTAGATGTGTCACCCTTTGATACTGGGGGCAGCCTTCCTAGCTGGGCAGGAAGCCTCCCCAGCAGTGGGGTGCAGGCCCAATCATTTTCCTGCCTCTTAGGGAGCAGCACTGGGACACGCTTTCTCCATTTCTGCTCTTCACCATACATGAGACACTCCCTGATGCACGAATTACTGACCAAGGCACTGAAAGGGAGGCAGGGAGGAAGAACACTTGATACTACAAGAAATATTGGAACTGACATCTAGGCAAAGCCCTTCTGCCAACGTCTTGCTGCCCTGATCAACCCAATCCCCAATGGCAGCCTCACCTCTCCCACCCCACTCAAGTATTTGTCCCCTTGCCCCAGAGACATCCCAGCCATGAGCCCCTCTGGAGCAGACACAGCCTAAGAAGTCATGCAGGCCCAAAGCAGCTAACAAGTAGAGAGCAGAACCACAATCCAGCTGTATGTATTTTTTTCCACGCCTGCCTCCTCCTGAGATATTTGCACATGCCTCAGGCCCTGGGGTGGGCTTTCACAGAAGCCTGTTGCAGCACATGGGCCATCCTTCCTCCCGGCAGAGCAGAAACCTACCCTTTCTTTTCATACAGCCCACCACTAATAGCTTCTTTTTTATTTAAACAAACCCTCAGCTATGCATTCTAGCTACGTGAGATGATTCACGAGCAACAGATGTTGGCGCCACTGCTAGCAGAGCAGCATTACTTGCTGTGTAGTTTCAGGTGCCAAAATACCAACGTTTATTAACCATCTCCACAGAGGCCTTGGGAGCTTAAAGGTAGAACTAACCAAAAGGGGAAAGGTGAAAGAAGCCAGCGAAGGTAATATCAGCGAGGCATTCCAAAAGATGTGTCAAAGCTTAACATGCCCCCAGTTCAGAAAATAGGAGAGGAAGGTGGCTTTCGCCGTTGTTGCTTTGTTTGGATTGAAAGGTGAGTGTTGGGAGATTCAGGATGCTTTTAAATCGATAACAAATGCTTAGGAGCTTCTTATTTATTTTAAGGCAATTCCCGAGGTATAATGAAAGGTTTTAATCTTATTTCAAAGGTGTAATTAAAAAATCTCAGCTCCTAAGAAGGTCAATATGGGTTGCTAAACAACATTGATTTTTGGAATATTACTGATGCACGCAGTGATTTTTTTTTTTAAAGATAACTTCCATCCCTTCAAGAACTGTGTCAGATATAATTTGATTGGTAAATACCTACTCTAAATTAAACTGGCACAGTAATTACAGGTGCCTCATCAGAAGTTATTGGAAAATTATTCAAGAAGGTGAAGCAAGTCTGAGGACAGCACAGCACATTTCAAAGCAGAAGTTTGTTTGCAGGTGCTACTGAGGATGCTGATCCCCAAAAAGTCTCTGAAGTAAAAACGTCATTCAACTGAGCACAGAAGATGGATTTGAGCTCTGGTTGTTTGTTGTTTTTGTGGATTTTTTTTTTTTTTAATTTTTTGCTGAAATGGGGTCTTCTTTCCTGCAATTTGGGGTTTTCTCCTCCCTGTGAATCAGCCCTGCATTACAACCAGAAGCAGCCATTTTATGGTGGAAAGGCAACCTTGCCAACACAGGAGCCTGCAAACTGCCTCTTGCTCTTAGACCTTTCATTTTATGGCTCATTCAAATTATTCCATATAATTAGGCCACAGGAAATGCAATTGGGGCCATGGCCTTGAGAGGTGGGAGGGTTTAATGCATCGCTGCAGCTGCAGAGAGGGATTTCTGATGCCAGAGAAGCCTTCTCACAGCAGGGACACCTTGTTAGCTGCTGCCATTGAAGACTGAAAATCAGACTTCCCTTCCATAATCCCTGATGGAAGTGGACTGGAAATGGGTTTTGGAAGCAGACTGAAAACAGATGAATGTGTGGCTGTAGCTCCTCAAACAGAGGTGTTAATGAGCACTGAATAAGGCTAAAAAGCTCTTCTTCTAGCTAGGTAAAATAACTAAGGTTCCAGTTAGTGCTCCAGCCCAACACAGCCACATTGCTGGCTTTCAGTGATGCTATGCTGACTTTCATTTTCATAAATATATTTTTTTATCTTCAGTATGCAAGAAAAATGGTCCTGAACATAACTCTTAACACACCTGGGCTTTGTCTTGCAAGTCTTCCCCGATAGCCTATGTTTGGTGCAGAGAACAATTCTTTGCCCAAAAAAGGTCTCACAGGTGAGAAGGGAACTCAGGTGCTTGTGGGTCTCTGCTAGGCTCCCCTGGGATGTCCTCATGATGAAGATACCTGGAGGCAGAGATTTGACTGCGGCTTCCCTGCACACGAGCATTCTACAGTAGAGTTACTCCCAGGCAGATACTCATCTTCTCACTCATTCAGGTTTGCTTTAGGAACCTCTGCATGACCAAAGGCTGCAGGGTATCACACACAGCTCCTGAGGGATCCCAGGCCACATCACAAGCCACAGCAATGACCAGCTGCACACCCAGGGAGCACCCACATGGTATGGATTTGCTGTTCCTGCAAGGAACCAGTGACAGCCTTTTCTGACAAGAGCAAACTGAAATCATCGCTCAAGGCATGCAGGAGATCAGACTGCAGCAATCACCCCATCAGGCTCCAGGGCTTCCACAGCCAGCCCCTAGGCATGGCCAGGGGTGGAGCACGAGTATCAGCCAAGCGTGGCCTTTCAGAGGCAAAAAGCACTCCCTCTCTACAGCCTGATGCCAGCAAATATTAAAGAGGTGACAGAGGTGCTGCTTTGCTACAGATGGAAACCTCTAATAGCCAGGTACATACTGAGGTTTGTGCAGTGCATCAGCAAAATGAGAAAATCCTAGTCCATGTCGTCTAACTCCCTGCCATTCCAGCAGTAGATCTAAAATAATTCATATTCCACTCATACATGCATAAACATGCAAAATGTAGCTTGTTATTTGGCATTTCAACCTCTTGTACAAGCACCTGTCAATTTGAATTAGAGAATCTCCACACAGTGCCAGGCAGGCATATAGGACAAAAACCACCAATATGTGGTTTTAGCTCACAGAGAAGAAAAAAATATTATTGCAGTATCTAAGATGCTCCTTTGTGCTTATAAAAGATAAACATTTTAGCCAGCCCATCTGCTGAGTCACAACAGTGACAAGATGGCTGCAGAAGCATGGGTGCATGCATGCATCTGCTCCTCATGCTCATCTCAGGAAATAAAGGTTATTCCACCTCTCACATATCAAAATGGATTCATCCACATCAATGGAGAAGAGATGAATTAATTTCTCATTGACTTAAAGAATCAAGGCTGCACGTGGCTGCATGAGACACGAGGTTTAACGTTACTCTGAGATACTGCTCGAGCACCAACCATCCCTCACTGCTGCGTATGCTCAGCAGTAGCCTTCAGCTCCAGTTTCTCCTCAGGGCAGCTAGATGCTGTGAAATGATAACCCGTGTCACTCTGGCTAACAGGAATTATATAATAGACATGCCTCAGGAAGCAAAGCACTGTGTGATGGGGTCAGAATCGGTGCCTGCAGCATCTGGCCTGCCTGCACATGGTCCCCTTTTCCTCTCTGGGAAGGGAAGAAAAGAGAATAGGAGCAGTACATGAAACTGCTATCTCTGAAAGCAGTACTTCTATAGGGCAGGCCTAGTCCTAGGCTTATCTGGTAATTACGTCAGTCTTTTATTCCTGCTGTTCATCCATTCATTCATACATACAGAGAAAAAAGATTTCCATCGCAGTGTGCAGCTCTTATTTTTTCCTCTTTTGATAAATGAGTTCAAAGAAAACTTAATCTTTTAAAAGACAGTTAATTCCCTAATTAGACATTCGCCTCCCTCTCTCATCAGTAACACAGAAAACATATCAAGACAAATTACCTGTATGCAGATGCTTGGCAATAGCATCTTTTCTTCCTAAATCCCCTGGACAAATCCAGTTAGCTTCAGCACGAAGTCTGAGAGATAACACCTGAGCCCCCTCCCGACTTGCAGCAGGGAACAGACATGCCTCTTTTCTTTGCTAAGTTTCCATCTGCTCCCTTTGATCGTGGAGAGAAGACACAGAAGTACATGGTGGAGATGAATGGTAACTTACATCCTTGCAGAAGGCTCCACTGGCAATTTAGGAGGGGAAAAGGAGATGGAAAGGACCGCAAAGAGCTTGGGTGTTTTGGGCTTCCCAGGGTCTGAGTTGTGGCTCACACTACGTACAGGTTCCTATTATCATGTGTGCAGGTCTGGGGGAATAAATCAGAGATGAGTACTGGCATTTTTGTAAATCACAGGCTGAGAAACTCTATGCCTGTTTCATTGCATTGTTATTTCAAGTAAACCTTCCACATGCACAGATACAAGAACTAGGTTTTGAGCTTTGACTTGGCACCGGTGAGGTCACACTTCGAGTGCTTTGTTCAGTATTGGCCCCTCTCTGCAAGCAAGACACTGAGGGCCTGCAGCATGTCCAGAGAAGGGCAGCAGAGCAGTGAGAGGTCTGGAGCACAAGTGGAACAGCTGAGGGAACTGAGGGTGGTCAATCTGGAGAAGAGGAGGCTCAGGGAAAACCTAATTGCTCTTTACAATGACATGAAAGCAGGTTGTGGTGAGCTGGGGTTTGGCCTCCACTCTCAGGTAACAATGATAGGAGGAGAGAGGATGGCCTCACACTGCACCAGGAGAGGTTCAGGTTGGGTGTTAGGCTGCCCAGGGAGGTGGTGGGGTCACTGTCCCTGAAGATGTGGCACTTTCATGTGGTGTCTTAGGGGTCATGGTGAGGATGGACAGCTGGTTGGAAGAGATGTACTTAAAGGTCTTTTCCTATCTTAAAAATTCTGAGACTTTGGGAACTTCATGAAAGACAATTGCAGCTGGGAGCATGACTCTAATCAAGGAAGGTAAAGAGAGAAGCCACTGCTCAGCCAAATCTGGGGCTTGGTATTCCTCCAGCAAGGCTGGCATTTGGCCACATGGAGGCTCTTCCTGCATCCCCTAACCATCCAGGGGTCTGCAACACCCCTGCTTGCTAATAGCATACCCAAAATCTCACACTGTATCAGTGTGCATGTCTCACCATGATGATTCTGAGACCAATGGATCCCAGACTGCTGTGGAAACAAGCTACCATCAGCCTGCAAATCCCCCCAGGCAAAGCTGTTAGTCCCAAGCCCCATTTCTACTTAGCACCAAGATACTCCTGTCTATCTCTCCCTACTGCAGGAGCCCAGGCTCTGTCAAAGGACCATGAAATGCAGCTAGACGCCAGTGGAAAGAACACGAAGGAGTGTTTGAGCAACATGCTCATCGACGAGCAGACTCTAATTATGCCAGCAACAGAGACAAAAAGCACACACCAGCTGACACTTCGCTGGATCTCCACTGTGCTAACTGACTGCAATTAATGAGACGGCAGCACTGAAGCTAGAAAGAACCCAAGCCAGAATGAAACCTCACTGATTAATTAAAAATTAAGAGATACCCAGAAGAAAATCTTCCCTGCCTCCTTCCAGTCAGCTGTCAACCTTGTGAAAGCTTGCCGGGGGAGGTTCAGGGCAATTCTGAAAGGAAAGCAAGCCCTGAAATTCAAAGTGATGCTTCAAGACTGGCCAGAGAACTTTCAAGTTGTCCATCAACTCCATGCAAATCATAAAATCCAATGGCAGGTGGCCAGTGATGGCCAGAAAATGAATAGCCAATCATGCTGTTAACACTGTAGGGGACAATTTGCATAGATTTATGTTCTGCTAATGCTTGTAAGGTGCAGTAGAACAGAGGGGGTAGAAAAAAGTTCTGATCAGCCAAGAGCTGGAGTGGTACCTGTGCTGAGAGCAGGAAGAATACACAGAGGAGAGGCAGCCCACAGCCAGCACAGCTTCCCAGTGTCACTGCAACTCTTGTCCTGTGAGAAGCAAACCTTTGGCCAGGAGCTGGGATGGAGAGGAGATGAGCAGGTTCAGCTCAGCTCTAGTCCTTTCCTGAATCAAACCCAGACAGGACCATAAACCAGAAAGGATTGTAACATAAATGGGATTGAACTGCTGCACAAATGGTCTCCAAGAATATATCAGGGTTCAATCCAAGGCTCAGCAGACAGTGGTCACCTTTTCTCCATTTTCAAATGGCTCTTGGATCCGATCACTGCATAATATTTCTTGCCAGCATGGAGAGCTATAAAAAAGCCAAGAGAAATCCTTTCATTTTTAACAACAGCAGGACAGTAACACTCACTGACTTCACAGCTGCTGTGGAGACTAGCAGTATTTTCAGTGCATTAAGAAACACAAACAATGCTTTAACCACAAAGCATTATTAGTAAAAACACTGGCACCAGAAAGCCTTTTGACTTGTATTATGCTAACCTCATTTAGCTCAAACTTATTACGCTCCGAACTGTTCTCTAGGTCAGATTCAGACTGGAGTCATAAACATGTGTATGTGAATACATATACGTATGCATAAAGGCATATATTTTAAAAAGATCTGTAAATTTTCACCAAGTAGACAAAGCCATCTATCAAAAGACAAGGGCTTGATTTCTAAAAGCAAACACAGTTCAATTTGCACTACTAAAAACATAGTCAGTATTCACCCACCCAAGTGAGCCCTGACTGCATGCTCAGAGTTCCTCCTGGCCTGCCCTGGGATGCTCCTATCACAAAGCCAGGTGATTACATGCCTCTGAGGTCAGGAAGGTGTCCAGTAGTGGAGAAAAAAAGCAAACAATAGCTTCCTTCTCCTGTCTCTTTTTCCTCTTTTTTTACTGGCACAGAGGCAGATCCATCCCATATCAAACTTAGCTTCTGCCACGCACAAGAGTCTATGCTGGCGAGGATATGTGCTGTGTGTGGTGACTGGTGTGCACCTCAGGCAAAACTAAAGGGCCACAGAGGGAAGCACCAATACACCCAGCAGGATGCCCTGCAAACCTGTGATAGTGGAAGAACACCAGCCCTGTGGGGCAGCACATCTGAACGCAGCACTGATTGCCACCAAAACAGCAGCCACACACATACACCTGGACTAGAAAAAAAGCAAAAAGTCCTGATGTTGATATCCATGTTTCCACAAATGAGCCCAAATTCCTCCCCTGGACAGTATGGCTATGCAGTCAGCTTTCAGCTGACTTTACCACTTTAGCTCATCCCATCTGTTTTATTAGCAGAATTAGTATCAAGATATTCACAATCTTTAGGGGGACTTTCTGCTATAAACGCAATTTGCCTTCCATGTCACTCATGGGAAATCAAGGACTGAGACAATCAATGAAGTTCACAGGACTTCTTCTGCCTCTGTGATTCTGAAAAAGTCCAGAGAGAACAGAGTTTCTGTGCCAGGATGAACTTAGGTGTTAATTCAGGCAAATATATTATTTTCTTCAACTGTGCTAACCCACACAGTCGGCGATAATAACCTTCATGTTAGATTGCTTTGACCCATCACCACTGCTCAGTATTTGGAGAACGATAGATCCCAGTTCTGGCTTTCTGCCACATCAAATAAAGTGGAAAAGCAATTTATACAGCCTCTTGGAGGAAAATGACAGCGCTCAAAGGAAAGGTGCTCAAGATATAATTTAATTTAGGCGTGATGAGCTTCACACATCTCTCCTGGGTAAGCCAGTCAATGAAGTCTCCATCTCATCCATTAGAAGGGTTAGATTTTTATTTTTTTTAACCCTCCCAGAGCAGGCTAGGAGATAAGGTCATAGATATTAATAAAGGTGGTTAAAATAACACCTAAATAACTGTGAGATACCATCAGCTTGGAATACATCTCTGGCGAACCTGTACCAGAGCTGGGAGATGCAGCTGAAGCAGTGAAGCTGGACTCCTTTTAGAACCCCATTTCCCTTCTGCTGACTCAGGTGATGCACTGGAACAGATTGCCCAGAGAAGTTGTGGATGCTCCATCCCTGCAGGCATTCAAGGCCAGGCTGGATGTGGCTCTGGGCAGCCTGGTCTGCTGGTTGGCAACCACTAACTCCAGAGATCCTTTACTCCCCCCTACAATTTTGTGATTTCTGCTTTCTCCTGCTGGCCCCATAGCAGTAGGGCCTTTCCTCAGAGTGAAGTTCAGCATATATTTGCATCCTCACATTAACCATCAAGGAGAAAAAAAAAAAAATCAACCCTGAAAAGCCCACTTGTGACTACTGCTGCCAGAGGAGGTGTATGTGAAATGTTTACCTCCAGCTAATAAATCTTTTCCTGCAACAAAATGGGTCAAAAGCACAGAAGCGAAATGGCAACTTGACCCTGTCAAGATCCTCCACGGCGGCAGGAGACCATAAAACATGAGGTGCTACCTCTTCCATCACCTCTCTCCTCTGCCCACAGGACACTACAGCCTCCCTGCAACCTTAGGGTGTTGAGCTGAAGCTAAGTTCTCGTGGGGCAGGATGAATAATTAATGGCAAGCGCTTAGTGCAGACATTCAACACAGCTCTTGCACTGGGCATTAATCAGTCAGCTGGCTGACTCTCTAATAGCAACTGTGGCTGTGGTTTTCCCTCTCTGTATAAATGCAAGGCTGACATCACTGTGGGCCCGGCTCACCCACTGTGTTTGTACAACTGGAGCAAAACAAGAACATCACACACAGTACAGACAGTGGAGAAGACACAGAGGGGCAGTGAGGCTAGCTAATGTCAGCCACTGCACAAAGGAGAGAAATGAGAAAGTTTGGAAGAAAAAAAAAAAAGTGGATGTTATCAGAAAGAGAGGCAGGAAGAGCAGACAAACTGAGGAAGCCCTTGTAAAAGTTGGGGAAAAGCAGTAACACCAGGTACCAGGGATGAGTAGGAAAGCTGCTTCCCCTAGCTAAAAAACACAACTGTGAGAAAGAGCCTGGGAGAATTAGAAAAACAGATAGGGATTGTAAAGTCTCTGCTGCAAACGAATATTTGGGAAATTTGAACATATGCTACCCAGTGATAAACATCCCTCAGCACGCAGCAAATTAACTGAGGAGCTCGCTGCACCCAGATGCTTAATTAACTATACTGTGCACAACCTACTTTGAGTGGAAAGCAGAGGAGAGCAGTAACCAGCAAAGCACCTTGCTATGGGATGGGTCCTTGGCTGTCACAGGTCACTGCCAGGCTGTGGGACCCCCATGAGTGTTGGTTGCTTTCTGCCCAGGGTGCAGCTTGTAGG